CACCTTGGGAGGTTCCTATGATTAGAATCACGTTCTCCTGAGAGGAATTTTGACTCCTTGTTAATTAGCTGGTTTTGAGTGGGAGCTGTGCTCATTCAGTGGCTCCTATTTTGCCATCAGTAAAGTGTGATTTCCTAATAAATTTCCATCCAGTGAACTATTTCTGGTAACTTCCCCCTAATTAACACCAGACGGCTAATAATAAATTAGACCCTACGTGTTTCTGATATAACCAAGATCTTGTCTAAGCACAAGATATTAACATCCCCAGAAGAGTAAAACTCCAGCCTAAATTAAGCTTTTGCTGGTTAAAAGGATTTATGTGTCGTTCTGTAAGAAAGGCTTTGAAGATCTTTAACACGGGACATTTCAGGCAGCAGACTTTTTGACTGAAAGATCTGTTCTAGGTTGAGCAGTGAAAGGGGATTTATTGTGAAAACACACTGTTGAGTTTTAAGGCTATAAATATTACACTAGATTACAGTTTCTTAATGAATGAATGACAGATCCCTTATTTTTGTTTCTCATTGCATTTTAATGTTAAATTATATTGTGGGGTGATAGAAACCAACCCTCTGCTGTTAAAACGTCAAATGTAGCCTTGATGCCTTTAAGAGTTTGGCTTCTGGAGTTTAATATACTGTTTGCAAATAGACTTGCATTTGTCTTTAATTGTAGTCTAAACACTTGGAGCAGAGGCTGGATTCCTGTAAAGCTGCCTCTAGCTTTTTATAGTCATGTGCAGTGTTCCCTTTTCCTTGTACAAACAAGGGAGAAAACAACAGCACATTCTCCTAGTCAGAAGATACCCAGCTCATAAGAATCTTATGAGGTTACTGCTATCATGAAGTAATTGGCCATGTTACTATAGATGGTTAAGTATCCTAAGGCGAAATCAGAGAATGCTTTGTGCTAAGGCTAAATACAGTATCAGATAAACCAAATTAGAGAAGATAGAATTGCAGTCCCTATTAACTGTCTCCTGTTTAGAGGGAACATCAAACAATCCTTGCAGACAACTCTATCAAATATTCTGCTTTCAGGGTAGGATTTGGAGAGAGAGGATAAAGTCAGGCATACAGGAGATGGGCCATTCATTGGAGATAAAGAATTTGGCCACTGAGACTTAAAAAGTGAGGGAAAACCTATTTGGATTTCCACAAGTGTCTTTTTATTTAAATGTACACCATATCATGTTGCTGTTGGTACTTTTCATCACAATTGGCTCCAGACAGCTCACGGCAGAGAGCAGTAAGCATCAATAAGACATCCAACAGATTGTTTTCTAAAAAAAAGTTACAAGCAATAAAATAAAATAAGATTATGCATACAGATCACCAGAATCTAATTAAAAAAGCAAACCAAATTCAACAAATAAACAGAGAAATCCGAAAAATACGGTAATTAAAAAAGCAAACCAAATTCAACAAATAGAGAAATTCACCACCTCCTCCTTTTCTGCTTGTTCTTGGCACCAGTACTGTTAAATACTAAAGAGCAGATCAAAACATTGCCATTTTTTCTCTTTAGCTCTCACGACAGTGAAACTTTAAATATTCTATTTACAGAAAGAAACATAAAATCTCTCAACAGAGCTTTCTCTAAAGATCTGTAATACCTGTTGCTCATGAACAGTTTTGAGGGTTACAATTCTATGTATGAAAAAACACTGCCAATCTTGGTGTTTCTGAATAAACATACAAATATCCCTCTTTTGACAAGCAACTTAATCTTCCATGTTTTAGAAATCGCTTCTAGGATATTTGCAAAATATCTGATAACAGAATGGCTTAGATACAGGATACAGAACGGTATGATCAAAGTGACTTGAAACATAATTTTACAAGTTGTAAACTTGACAGAAGATTATAGAGCTGGTGAAATTTCATTCAATGAAAAAAAAAGCACATCTAAACAATGTAATTATAAATCGGGAAAACATGAAAAAATAACATTAGATATATTATGTTTGATCTAGACCTAGCATTACTTAGAAAAGAACAAATGAAATCTGAAGGGTATCGTGACTAGCCGAAGTCCCATTGAGTTCAGTGATCTGCCCTAATTACGTCTGGCTCCAACCCATTAAATTTATAGAAGATTTCCACTACCAAATAAATATCCACTCACTGAAATATGCTATTACTAGTTAAAGCACCCTGCTAAAAACCTGAGGTCCTTTTTTAAAAAAAAAAACTTATATGGAATTTAAACACTACTGTGAAGTAGTAGACTTTTGATTTCTCTAGGATTCATTGCTATTTTTTACTTATTCGTAGTACTTACATTTTGCCCATACTTCTTTTGCAGAATTAATATTTGAATTTATACCCAAATGAACAACATCAAAGGTTATAAAGGCTATGGTTAACAATTGTGTTAGTGTGTGACAGAAATCAGATGAATATAGACCAGCCATTCTCAACAGGGGCCAGATAGTCCCTTCAGGGACTCTGGCAAATTTGAAGGGGGCCACAGACTGGAAACAATTCTTCGCACATCACTGTATAAAGTTTGTTATGCAACTTATACTATCCTGATTCAGCCTATATTTCTCCCATATTGTGTTTATGATTGTGGGCAAAAAAAGAAAAAAGAAAAGGTTGAGCCAGCAATCTGCATTTTTCTGCCAATTGGCCAGGAGGATTGTGTTGCAAACAGGTCCTATACAAGTGATAAAACTTTCCTCATTTTTGATCAGAAAAAAATGTGGCTTCATCTATACCCACAAACATCACTTGGTTATTTATTCACAATGCAGTCAAATTAACCACTTATATTAGAGGTGCATTTCCGTGGGTCCATCCACACACCCTGAAACCATCTGGTAATTCCAACTAGATTAAATCCATTGAATCAACAAATTTATGTTAAGTGTTGACTTACCATTCAGCAGCTGGGCATGGACTAGTAACTGCATGTAGTCCCTTAGGTTCAAGGTTAGTCCTAGGGTAAAGAGGATTTGTAGCTGGATTTATAGCTACCCTGTAAAACCTAACCTGAAAATAAGCCTAGTATGATTTTTCAGGATGCTCATAATATAAGCCCTACCTCCAAAATAAGCCCCAGTTAAGTTAAACCCTACCCTCCACCATTGTGTAGCAACCAGAAGAAGATGACATTGTATTTGAATCAATGTAGACGGTTGTACATGAAAATAATAAAACATCCCCTGAAAATAAGCCCTAATGAGTTTCTTAGAGCAAAAATTAATATAAGGCCCTGTCTTATTTTTGGGGAAACACGGTATCTTTTAAAAAAATATTTGCAGCACTTGTAATTGTTATAGTATTTGTAGTTCCAGTTCCAGTCACCTGAAACCATAGCCATGTTCTAGAATGAACTTGGAAACTGAAATGTACTTTAAGGCAACTGGTGGATGACTGTCTTTTTATTGAAGACCAAAATAGCCTGAAGAACGTTGAAAAATAAAAGGTTAAGGATGCATGTCATCCTCTTTCAGCCTAGCTAACTGTAGATGTTGAACTGGGCTGAAAGTCTAGCGACCACCCAGTTTAGCTTGCCAACTGCTATGACCAATCCTGCTTTACTGGAAACAAATCAACAACTATATGGGGTATCGTTCTCTTCTTTGTCTTGGTCTCAATCCTGACATGTCCCCAAAATATAACTAATCCAAAATGCATTTTTCTCTTCAAAAGTGGAAATTCCCAACTTACTTCCCTCCAGGGAACAAGCAGGATTGACTATATGCCAAAGAAGTAGACAATTTATCATACAGTGAAGAAAATCACCAGGCACCATGGTTGACTGAGGAAGTGGAAGTTAATGTGGTCACTTCCAAGTCAATCGTGATGAAGTATTTTAAATGCTGTGCCTTGAAAACATACAGACTTAGTCATTCTGAAATCAATGGGATTTAAGTTAGCAATGACCATAGCGCCCATTGATTTTAATGAGTTTGCTCTAAGCATGATTAAATCCGCTTCCCACCATTCATGCTTTACTTCTACAGTTCAAAAGCTGAAAAATATACTCCACATACCATTTCATGGAAATGAATATAGTGGAAGTCTGAATGTTTCATACCCCACCCCATAGTCTAGCCAGTGAACTCATCACAAGATGACACAACATTCATTTGAGGAGCAATCTTTTCTTTTGAGGTCACTTTTAGAAGTCACTGAGAATCCAGGAAAACCTGGCTAAAACACACCCTTTTGGCCTGATTTGTGCCTGAAAAGGCTTTAAAAAAAAAAAAAGTCTGAAACATTTTTAGAAAGCTAAATACAAGATGGTTGTTGTGCGTTTTTCGTGTTCTGAAAGTTGTTCTTCCTAATGTTTCGCCAGTCTCTGTGGCCGGCATCTTCAGAGGACAGTATACAATAAATATTATTTATTTATTTATTTGATTTATAACCCGCCCATCTGGTCTAAAAGACCACTCTAGGCAGCTAATACAAGAGCTTAACAAATTTCTCCTGTGTAGATTCCACTAAATTAAATGTGCTATAGCCACAATCTGTTAAATTACATTTTCCTTGGAAATTAGAAACTTTTCAGTCCATTCCTAGCCAGCAAATAAAAATTCCTTGCTGTGATTTATGGGGATGTGGATGCATGTGCCCCTAAGAATGGCAGTAGGGTCTTTTTATTTGTTGAAACAGACTGAAAGTTACACATTTTATTATGCTAGGCATCAGGATTTCAGCCATTTGGAGACTGGATTGTTCCCATCCAGGAAATTCTTGGCTCGATGTAGGATGAAATATACTTTCAAAAGATTTTCATAGAAAGAACCATTACAGTCCTCCCTTCCTTTTTCAAAGTGATTTTTTAATTATTATTATAAAAACAGCATCCCTCCATCTCTGAAAAAATAGCTAAGATAGATAAGAAAAAATTCCACTAATTCGTATGTGTATTTACATATTATGGCAGGCAAGCAAGTATTGTTCATTAAAATGGCAAGTCAACATAATGCACAATGTATTTATACATAATACAAGCAGGCTAATGGCAAGACCACAACAGAAAAGAACAATCTGAGTATTTATTTGCTTTCTTGTGAAACAGAAGTCCCGAGTCTAAGAAAACTGAAGGTGTTTCATGTGCCAGCTCTCCCTTTTGTCATTCTTACACCAAAAGAAATGTGATGTGCAAGTATATTTCAATGCTATGTGGAAGTATATGAAAATACAACCTTATAGTATCTGATTTAGACCTCCCCTCCTTCTACATATATCCCTTCAATCACTTACAGCTCTATTTCTTCCATTTTGGGAGCAACAAAGTTGCCTGTTATTTCTGAACACTTATAAAAGCTGTCTTCTGCATGATCAAGTTTTTCATTATTTGTTGCATGACATTTTTACTTCTTTATCACTGAAGAGAAAAATGAATAGGAACGCTATATTGTGAGAATGAATGAAAACAATGGGGTTTTACATAATCATTTATGCAATCTATTTCAAACTCTCTAATTACTTAACAACATGAATATGTTCTTTCATGCCCACATTATGGTTAATATAACTAGTAATATTTTTTAAAAAAAAATAAAAAATTGAATACAGCATATTTCCCTCCACCAACAGAGGTCTTCAGCCCAACATGAGTTTCAGAGTTTGCCGTTTCCTCCTCCATCCCCCCAACCATTTTGACGGGTTACAGCACCCCCTGAAAAAGACAGTGGGGAGAATGCAGAGGGGACAAGAGACGGTGATATATCTGAAAATCGCACTACTCCTTCTTTAAGCTAGTGGAAGCCTTCCATTAGCAGAGGGAAGCTAGAATTCCACTCAAATTGCTTCCTTCTTTCTTTTCCATTATATACGAAGCAGCAAGAAAACCAATTCTACATTTGCCTTGCATCTATGAAGCATTTTACTGTTTGTGTTGCTTAACTGGTAAGGCAAATTAAACTACAAAATGAGTGACTGAAACAGCATTATGTGTTATATTTGAAAAAAGAACAAAAACAAAAATCCAGATATTCCTGAAATTTTTCTCTCATTAAAAGAAAATGCCTGTTTTATTTTGTCTAACAAGCAAAATGCCTCCTGTTGTATTACATGAAAAGTCAATAAGCACTATCCCTTCTCACATCTTCTACAATTTAAAATTTTCTACATAAATACTATAGTAACTCTACTGAAAACCCACACAGGCTAACTTTCTCTTCTTGTCATTGTGTTCATTTCAGCAACTTTGAATGTTTTAGATGTTCACAGAGTGAGCGTGTTTCTTGCACAGTGGTTTGTCTTTCTTGGAGAAGAAAGTCTGGCCCTCTAAGCTCTCACAGCACACCTGAAAGAAGAAAGAGATCATGGATAATATCTAAATCCAAACATTAATACATATGAATAATAATAAGGGTGTATTTCCTGTTGTTGTTCCCCATCTATTTTATTTATTTATTTATTTATTTATTTCATTTATACCCCGCCTATCTAGTCAATTGTGACCACTCTAGGCGGCTTACAACATGCATTTAAAAAAGAAACATATAACAAACCACATCACAAATAATAATTTACATAAATTAAGATAGAATAAAAAAAATTTTTTCCCAAAGATGGCGAGAAACGGGATATATTATAACAGAAAAAGAAAGTGTTAGGTAGAAATGACTTTAGATGCTCTAAACAATGATGTTGTGCCTAAGGTTCTTTGACTAATACATTGTTCTCCTTCCTGCACTTCTTTTTCCTTTTGCTTTAATTAGCCATGGCAATCTGTACATTTTATTTCTCATGATATATCTTTCTGAATTTTACGATCTTTCGGATTTCTAGTACTCCTTTCTTGGTTCTGGATCCAAGAAGGACTTAACATTCACTAAGCATTTCAAATGCTTCCATTTTTAATTTTATTTTTCTATTTCATTCCATTTGTCGGCTCCATTAAAATCCCCAAAAGGTGAATGGTGCCTGGTATTTTGGGACTAGATCAATCAGACTTTTAATGTGTGGTTTTGTTGTTGTTGTTGTTGTTTTGAGGGAACAGGGGCTGGACTTGATGATCCCTAGCATCCCTTCCAGCCCTACAGTTCTGTTTATTATAACATTATTATACATGTTCAGGGCATTCAGCGAATCTTTGCAATGCGGTACAGGTATCCAAGGTTCTATGAAGTCATGTCTTCCATGATACTCCCAACCTTGGGTCCCTAGATGTTTCTGGACTATAAATCCTAGAAATGCTGGCCAGCACAGCTAGTGGTGAAGGCTTCTGGGAATTTTAGTCCAAGAACATCTGTTCACCCAAGGTTGGGAACTGCTGCTCCATTCCATTAGTCCTATTGTCACAAGTTTTATCCTTGTCCCTACAATCAATCAGAATTCCATGGTCACTAACATGCTCAGTTCCCACTGAGCTGCTCTGGGGTTCGTCCTTGCTTCAGGACTTTTCTCTTTAATATATATATGAAATTGTCTGTATCTTGGACCTCCCCAAGCCTGCTAGTGTTGGGAACAACCCTGGCAGTTTTAGATACTAATATTTAACTCTTTCTGCATTGACCTTCAAGAGTAAAGTCTGCTCAAGTAATTGTAAACAAACCCTCACTATACCTGTTACATTTACTATGATATAACCTCCAATATTAAAATCATAAACCAATTATAAATAAGTCCAAACAAGATTTTTAAAAAATGGCAAAAGTGGTATAATAACAAAAAAGTAGTGTAATAGCAAAACATCAGCCCAAAAAAAGAAGAAGAAAAATGCCAGAATAAAAGGATGCCAATAATTTAACCTTCCTGAAACTACAAGCAGGCTGAAACAAACAAACAAACAAACAAGAAGATCTTCAGGGCATGTCTAAAAAGAAAGTAAAAAATGGTAAACACATCTGGTTTAGACCAGAGCTTGTAAGATTACTTTTAAAAACCAATTCACCATATTCTGCCTCTACTCCTAGGTAGCTTATCATTGTTAATGTGTGAGTTCATTAATTTTTTCATTATTTCTTTTTTAAAAATCGACACAAAGAAGCAAAAACATATACTGTATAGCCTAACATTTAGGGGTAAAAACTCCCTAATATACCCCAAGAAATGTAATCCAGTTGCTCCTGAAACTGTTCAAAACCTACAGCTGATGTAATTCATAGTACCTACACTGTTATCTGGTGCACAGAACCAGTAACACTGATTCTTCCTCATTGCTAGTTGTTTCTAAGCTCATTTTCACATACTAGACACCACATATGTCCTATACATACCGAACACACAAAGCAGGTATCATGCCATGTGTTTCCCAGAGCTTCCAGGAATCTGTCTCCAGCTTCAATGGGGAATTCACAACCATGGCACATGGTACCAAAGAGAGCATAGTAGTCTGTAAATATAAACACACAAACATGGACATTTCATAAAACATCTCGAGTTATAACAAGGCACAGAACAGAGTAAATTCTGTAAACATATCATGTTGGGCTGATATTCAAGAGATGAGATGTATCAAGACACATCAGATATATTAATAAGAACTGTGGGGGGGGGGAATAAGACTAGTATCTAATTTCTGCAGAGCTCCTCTACCTCAAGCATTTTCACTGAGACTTTCTTTCTGTTTCTCCTCCTCCATCTTTTTAAAAATAAATGAGAAAAAGATGTTCAACAGATTTATAAAATTACAATTTTTATACCTGGTTTTGTTGAAAGAACACTCTCCTAGCACATTGCTATTACACAAAAGATGTAACAGATGTGGAAAGGGTATGTATAAGATGATTACTTATCCATAGTATCTATAAAGTCTCCCCAATGGCCAATAATTTATTCACTGAGTCACTAGCTCTCACCAATGCATTCTTGATGTGATCCCTATTGTTGCAAAGAACTAATAAGCAAGTAAAATGGAAAATGTGCGGTGACATTGGCAATTTGCATTTGTAAGGTCTGCCGAGCTGGATCATAAATTCAAGCTTGGTTATCATTCCTAGAATGACCATCTTTCAGAACAACCTATTCTTTGCATTATATTATCTGAAGCTGAATTTTGCTGCTTTAAACAAGCAACAATGCTCCATCTAACGTGGCCAATCTTTGCACAGGAACCCAATCAAGGTCTCAAAGAATGAGATTCGGAAGGGAGACACACTCATCAAGTGAACAAGATGTATTGTGAGTCAACCAGAAGATTGACTGAGGTGACTCACCAAACTTCTGTATTTCTTAAAGATCATTATGCCAGAAATTCCTACATTAGGGACTTTGCAAGTCCTCTTAATTTCTTCAGCAGCAGGGAATGTACACAACGATTCAATTAAAACCAGCACAAAAATGGATACATTTATTTTTGAATATTGTTATGTCCTGGTACTGCTGCAAAGATTAGTACTGCCTTGTTTGTAAAAGGATTAAAAACAGATACATGCTGGACAAGTGCCTTGGGTCCTTTTAAGGAGAAAGGGGGGATTAAATTATTTTAACCAACTAACCAGATAACCAACTAACCAACTAACCAACTAACTCACCAACCAACCAACCAACTAACTAACGAACTAACTGCTGTTGCCACTAAGCAACTCTACTAGTAAGCTCATGAACTTACTGAATAAATGGTGTGATATGATGTGAAAAAGAAGAAACACAGGAAGATGGCATATTAATTCCTACATTTATGACAATATGTTCAGAAAACCACTAGGTGCAGCCCTTTCATTCTTACCAGCCACAGGGAAACTAGGGTCACCACTCAAAGAGCTCACCTAAAGTAGGTTTCCTATGGCAAAACAAATTACTCACACATATTTGTTTTAAACCAGACAATGTCCTTTCTTCTCCTTTTCACAGCACCATATTGAGAATGGGCGTATGCTGTTTGACTTGGCTGCTGTTTATAGTTTCAAGACGTTTACAAGCTCTTTTTAAAACACACACACACAAAACAGAAGACAGAAAACAGTAGCCATAGCAGACTGAAAAGCTTCTGTTCTCTTTCCTTTTCAACCTCAGACATATAGTCTAAGATTTTTCTCCTGTTACATTAACCATGGTAACAGCAGTCTGAAGGAAACTGTGCGCAGAAAGTTTACAAGGCAGGTCAATCGTGTGCTGTTTTCCTGCCTGGACATTTAATTTGCAGTTTCTGATTCCACAGAGGCCCCAGTTGAAATTCAACTGAAGAGGAACCTAGCATGAGCACTCACTGAAAGCAATCCTTGCATCTTCGCTTAAACACAACTTTTTTTTTCATCCCCCTGTGGCTTGACTACTTCCTGTGAAGGATTTGGAACTGACTTAAAAGTTTCTTAAAAAGTCTTTAGTTACCTGACCATCTCCTCTTAATAACTTAGTGCCACATTTGAGACACACCTTAATTTACATAGCAATGTGTTATCCTGTACTGTAATGGCTGTCTCCTAATTTTGCAGAAGTACTTCTTTTAACTACAGAAGTATCTCATGGGCGGAAGCAGTAACAACTTACAGACAACTTTACTTTCTTACAACGAAAATAATTAATCACGAAAAATACCAAAAAAGGAACATAGTATTGATTTTAAATTCTTCATTTTTTGTTGCTTAGCAACATTATGTAAAGATAATACATAATAAGTATTATGTATTGTCTTATTATTGTCTAATAAGACAAGCCAGAACACTATTTTTTGGTTTTACAAAAAAATGAAAAAATATTTTGCAATCTATAAATTCCTTTTTTCAGACACCTCAAATAATGAAACTTTACTTCAGTATTCTTGCCCCTGGAAGAAACCCTGAATTGGCTGCTAACTTTCAGTTGTCATGGTGAAGAAGCATTGCTTTTAGAACAAAACTGAATGCAAAGTGGGGGAAAACAGCAACTGCTTACAAGACACTATGCCTCTTTCATATTTCAGCATGAATGTGTATAAGCCTAAACTGGGGGAAGATGTATGCTCTCTAGAAATGAAGTGTGAATTTATCTGTCTGTATCTTGGACAGATAAATACTTGTTCTAAAAGTTCAGGAAGATAGCTCCTGATCAGTTTCACTGAGGGAAGCTCTACCTTGCAAATGCTGAAGGTGCTGTTTCTAATCCTTTCACTCCAGTTTGGGGTCTGATGGTCAAAGGCTCACCTGTCTCGCAGTAAGGATCACCATCTTCCAAATGGAAAACATTGTTGCGAATAGGCTTGTGACAGGCCACGCACACAAAGCAGGAAACATGCCAGGTTTGTTTCAAAGCATTGATTACTTCCTAAGCACCAGAGAAAGTAAGAAAGAAAAAAGAATAAAAAAGAGAACATATAGGATACTGTAAGATTTTTAATCAGAAATTTACTTACGGAGTTTTTTTTAAAAAAACATTAGCTATGTTGTATTGTGATTATTATCGTTATTTTTATGTTGTAAACTGCCCAGAGTGGCCTTTGACCAAATGGGTGGTATAAAAATCAACTAACTAATTATTGATCTTTCTTGCAAATTACAGAATACTCTTACCAGAATAGCTAGACTCTGTTCTTAACCATAGTTAAAAGACAGAAAGAGAGCTGTTCAATGCAAGCAAAAGAGGGGAGGGAGAAGAAGTTGAATGACTGAAAACTCTTGTTCTGATTCTTTCCCACCATAGCAGTAATAACTAACCCTGCTTACGGTTAAGACAGGGATAATTCACTTGAAAGAGGTGAAGCCTTGGTGGAGAAACTGAGCAATTCTGCAGCCCTCCTTCAGTCCTTTAACTGGCTATGTTGGCTGGGGTTCTCTGGACGTTATATCCAAAAAAGGTAACTTTTCCAAGCTCTTTGTTATGTCTGTACCAATATCAAGACTGTTTTAAGCAGACATTTTAATGTCAGAAATTCCAAGCCCAAGCCCAAAACTTTATAAACATGCTAACTTATTACATACGCCAAGTATCTTCCGCTGGCATCGGGAACATTCTGGGGCAAAGAATTTCTCATAGCAGCCTTCGCAATACAGAGCTCCTTTCTCTTCCACAAAGCCAATGTAAGCCATAGAGATTTTGCAGTGAGCACAATTAAACTCTTCTGGATGCCACGATTTCCCTAAGGCCACAAGAAAAGGCCCTCTGTTTTAAGCAAAAATGAAGTAATGAAACTTTCCATTAGAAGTTGGGAAAGGTGAGCAGATTCATTCACAGTAGCACATTTAGCATCGTTCAAATAAAAATATGATCTGGTTAATAGTGCAATCAAACCAAAACATATTACTGACAGAATGAAAAGACATAGAAGTTCGAAATGGATTTAACATCATTAACAAAGTTTGTCTTGGTACGATCAGTTTTTTTTTTAAACCAAGCATTCGATAGATATTTCCATCTCTTGAAAGACAAGTTGGCTGAAATAATTTAACACAATGAGGATGAAAAGAATGAAGCTGTATACAAGAGATACCTGAAATCAAGGCCAATTTGAGCAGACAAGCTAAGAAAGATGTGAGAACGCAAGCCATACTGGAACTGAATTGCATTGTAACCAACACAGCCAAAAGCATTGCACTTATGCTTTCCCTTGAAACAGAGGACTCATTTGTATAATGGAGAATAAAATGTCTTGTTTCAGAAAAGTAGGCTTTTGGGTCCATTGCACATTACTTCTGCACATCTAAGAGAAGCTTCCTGAAACACTTGATTATGTTATAATAATTAACTTTTAGCTAACATCAGTATCAGATTTATTTATGTTATTCATTTAACTGGTTTTTCCTACCAAAGAACAGAAGCTATTAAATATCAACTAGATCTGTGAAATATGGTGCATGTTTATAAAACTATTTGAGTGTTCAAAAAACTGGACACATGCTATTTCCTTTGTAAAACTGATCTCTATCTGTGTACAGTGACGCCCCCTCCCCTTAGGCAAGTGTTTTAGAGTACACTGCAAAATGTGGTTTAGTGCTTGTTGTTTTTCAAGAATTCTTTCATGCAGTTTTAAGAAACCTGTCCAGAATTCTAGAGACACCCCTGCTGTTGTGTGGCAACCTGCAAAGTGCAAAACACTGACCTAACCTGATACCCTCCAACCTCTGTACAAGCACCTTTTTACATCAATGCCCTTTCAGTTATGTAGCGATCAAACAATACAAGTCCTTATGTACAACAAAGTGCTCTCTTCTCACTGTGTCAGCACAGGCTAATTTACCAGACTCATTACGAAAGGACCAACACTGAAGAGGTTCTTCTGGCCCCTGGTAGGATCAAGTTTCCATCTGTCTGCTCTAAAATGATAGACTTGAATACAAACAATGTAGGAAAGAGGGGAAAGTATTTTGATACCACCTGTTAGGTTTAGAAAGGAATTTGATGCACGACACATTTCAGTCTGTATTTTACGGTTTTTGACAACATGAAGAAAATTGCTGAAAGTCATGCTTCCGAAAAACATTACATTTTTGACTTGTGCAATTAAAATCATCACACAGAATGCATTAAATCACACCTAAGCAAAAGACACCAATGCACCATTATTTTCATTTATCTGAAAATTAATACTTGCACTGCATAAAATCACACGTTCTTTGTAATGTGTGGAGAAAAACAATGCCAGAACTGGCTGGCAACATAAAACAGACTGGTTCCATGTCTGTTTTATGGTGAAGTAGCCATAGGATTTACACTGAAGTATATTTACTTAGCATATTTACTTCGAAGAGGAATAGAATGATCCAGTAGTCCCTAAGAAGGGACTGCAAGGATCTATCATCTTGAGCTTCACTGGCCTCCCAATATGGCTGTTAGTAGATATTCAGGGCTGGTTTTAACATTTTTACATATGTTTCCATGTATGAAAAAAAAATCTTATGAAAACATAGCATTTCTTGACATGCATGATCTGAGCATTGTAACAATAGAAGTGGCACTGTCTGAGCCATGTATATGTTATCGAAACAGGTCAGCACCTGTACATTCAGATAAACAAGATAGTACGAGTGTGTCTAGAAATCTGGTCTGATGTCTTAAAATTGCACAAAGGGATTAGAAATATAAAGACTGTATCTGAAGTGTACTGTTTGTACACTGTGTTGTTTCTCTATTTCCTAGGTAAGCTGTTTTCACTCTGTAAATTTCTTATTTCTTTTGGGGAAAAACTTATCTTTGTTAGGAACCGATAAACCTTATGATAAAATTATTTAAACATAAGAAGAATTGACAACAAAAATTAAACTCTGATAAGTTTTCAAAATTAAACTCCTCTTACTTATAAGACACAGAAAAAAAGTGTATGTAACTTTCTGAAAATGGTTCTGAAAATGAATGAGAAATTTACTGCAGCATTTGAAGACATTCCAAAAGTTCTTGTATGCCGTCATTTAAAACTCCATCAGATTCACGTTAAATGTATTCAAGACATATTTTATACATGGTAAAAGAGATGGTTTCCAGTTTTGTACAACTGAGAAGAAAGAGAAACATTTGCGAAGAAATGCTTTAGTTCGGAAACATTATCAATAATTAAAGATACAAATGAAATAGTTATGAGATGGCCTCTCTTAAATTTGGGGGGCTTGCGTGTCATGGTTATTTTATGCCTTAATGTAAAGTAAGCAGGTCTACAATACAGTTTGGCTGCAAAACAGGTGTGCTGTGGAATGTTATTTGATCCAGCGCTTACCTTTTCACAGGTAATACTGTCTCAAAGGGCATGAACTGTAATTATGCTAAAAACTCAATGCTGAATGCTATCACAAGCTTCCAAAAGCACTGTAGTGCAAGAGTGAAAGGAGAACATGATATATTGATTAAAGTACTGTCAGATGGCCTCAAGGTATATGCTTACCATTGAATGTTTCCTGTTTTCACTTCCCATATGAAGCACTGGGAAAATGTGACCGCTAATATCTATACCTAATTCTGTAACTATACAATCCACAAGACATGTCCCTTTGCTGATCCTCTGAAATATTTCTGCAGCTTTTCACACAGGATCTCACAGAATTTCACAGAGTGCTCAGACATTAGCTACAGCTAATGGCTCATCATCTCCCTGCCAGAATCATGTAGATCTCCATCCAGAATAAGAATCTTCACCCTTCTTCTATTCATGCTTTGCAGCTAATTTTCTTTGCATCCCAAAAGTGTCTTCTAGATACTTTCTATGCATTGGCTGAAATCTTGTTATGTAACTTACACCTGTGGTAGAGTGGTGATGGCACCGGTAGAGGGCTATATTGGTTATTAAAAACTTCCTATTTTTTACTTCCAACTCATGTGTAAACCATTTCATTGCATGGAAGCCATGTGATGGAAGCAGTTAGCGTTTAATTATTGAAAATCGCCACCTGCTAGTAATTCCACCACCCTTCTGCAAGAATAAATTACACAACAGGATTTCATCATCTAGAAGTGCAGAGCTGGAAGGGACCCTATGGATCATTGATCCTAGCCCCTGTCAAGGAGGCACAGTGGAGAATCAAATTCCCAACCTCTGGCTCCACAACCAGATAATGAAACCACTGAGCTGGAGCCATTAACAAAACTTTGTCACTGCACATCCAATTTTTGTTTCTCGTCTGTTAAGTTTTTTGTCCAAAATGAATCTGATGAAATAAATGGATGATTCCCTCATATGTGACTTATTAATGCAGTGCTAATGATATTACAGTGGTGCCTCACATAGCGATCTCTTCGTTTTACGACGAAATCGCTTTGCGGCACATTTTTTGCAATCGCAAAAGCGATCATTTTGCGATGTTACCTATGGGGGAATTTCGCTTTGCGATGATTGGTTCCCTGCTTCGGGCACCGATCATTGCAAAGCGATGATTTTTAACAGCTGATCGGCGGTTTCAAAATGGCTGCCGGGTAAACAAAATGGCCACCCGCTGTATTTAGGGATGGATTCCTCGCTTTAGAGGCACTGAAAATGGTGGCGCTATGGAGGATCTTCGCTTAAAGGTGGGTTTTAAGCCCCCAGGAACGCATTAATCGCGTTTTAATGCGTTTCTATGGGCTTTTTAATATTGCATAGCGACGTTTTCATTCTGCAGCGAGTTTTGAGGAACAAATTAACATCGCTATGCGAGGCACCACTGTATTTCAGTATATCTACTTCTATTTATCTATATTTATCAAGTTGTCTCCTCAATGGGTTGCAAGTAGCAATTAATGAAGTGCTGTTTTGTTTTAAATTTAAATAAACACATGAATATATATTGTCCAACTGCGGACATACACTGGTGTTACGTTTAACTCTGAATCACAGAAGTGAACTGCTGCTAATTAATGAATTGCTTCCCACATTCTTAGTTACACACCAAGTGATACGACTAGGGATGTGACTGGCAATTCATTAATTAGAGGCAATTTGCCACCTCAGTTCATGTAACTGCAGTGAAAACCCACAGTGGCTATCAATACAAGAAAGATGCAGAAAAGAAATTATTTAAAATGGATTATTTAAGCATTGGCTATTAAAGTTTAAAATTCATAAATCTCTGTTAGATGAACAGATCTGAAGCGGTCTCAGCCGATGCCTTAAGAATAATCAATGAGAATTGTATGGATCTACAATTCAAAAGCCTGTGTCATTTGTCAATAAATGCACAAGGGAAAAGGAAGTACAAACCTAATTACTTGATTACAATGAGCACACATTGGAGTTCGCTTTCCTGCTGGAATATGCTCTGCTCTCTGAACCAGAGAGTCTTCATCTGTTGGTAAAGGAGGTACAGTGTTTTTTTCACCTGGCACAGATGCTGCAGGTCTTGCACCATTGTTTGATGACCATCCACTTCCAGTGGCTATAAAATAAAAAGGAGGAAAAATGTGAACTAGGCTTGTGTAATTGTCAGAAAGACAAACAATCTGAATTTTGAGGCCTAAAATATGTAACAATCAATTTTAAACCGAACATGTGAACACTGAAAGGGATGCATGTTGATAAACTTATGGCCACTATTATAAGTTGGCTGAATAGATCAATGAGTTAGGAATCTGGCTGCGGAGCCAAAGGTTGGGAATTCAGTTCCCACTGTGCATCCCAGAAGAGTCACTCTGTGTTATCTTGGGTAAGGTGCACAGTACCAGGGTGACTCCAGAAGAAAGGAATGGTAAATGACTTCTGAGTACTCTTGACTATCTAGAAAACTATGAAGGGAATCACCATTTGTCAGGACTGACTTGACGGCACACCATTATTATTATAAGTACAGTGTAGACCATTCCAACACAGAAGTACAATGGCTTAGGGTTACTGTGCTATGCTGATATGAACATGGAAAGTTCTATAAACAATGGGAAAATTTATGCAGAAATGGTATCCAATATGGTATGAGTATGACTGTATAATTTCAATCTTTAAATTCAACATCGATATTTAAGAAGAGCTAATAAAGATGCCAAGACTTTTTTCTTATGAGAGATCAAATATTTGATCAAACAGCCAATGCAGAACAAAAAGAGAGAAGATTTATAACTAGACTCATAACAATAGAACACAATCAAGAACATTCAGTTTAAAACAAAGAGGAAAAAAAGAGGAAAAAAATGCAAATGTCCCACATACTTCAAACATATTTTTTCATTGATTTAACTGAAACACTGATGACACCCATAGTTACTGCTGTTATACTGTATCTCTTAACATTTAAAAAAATCACAAATGTGTTTATTCATTCATCATATGCAATAATTCTCTCCAAAGAAGCCCACAACACAAAAACAATGCATGTATAGTATGCATGACAATAAAATAGTTCACAAAAATGATACAGTGCAATAAAACCTCTCAACAATCTAGACAATTTTACTTTATATACAGTACTATATAAAAATGCTTGCCACCTGGAGTGGTAAAATCTCAGCAGTTCCTAATCCAAAGGCCTGCCGAAACAATTCTGCCTTCCACCCCCTACTGAATATCTGAAGGGTTCTCATACTTTGCAGGGACTCAGGAACAGAATTACAGAGCATGGAGGCAACAATACAGAAATGTCTTTTTAAAATACATTCAGGTTGTTTTGAGGGCAATTCTAGATAACCTCAATTGGTGTAGGGGCTCATATTGATAGAGTTTGCCCATTAGGTTCAGTACTAGATTACTTATGATCTTGTTATAAATATATATATATTCCTCTAAGAACTGAACCTCAAGACAATTTGTGAGCAAATATAGTCACATACCATTGAAACACTGCTAGCATAGCATGGTTCAGTAGCAAAACACCAACAAATTAAACAAATAATAAAGCTTTAAACAAATAACTGAGAAATGAATGATATGCCACCATCTGACAGCACAGGCAAACAGAAACCTATAAAATTTAACAGACAAAAGTTTTCTTGAAGCATAACAAGGAGTGCTAGGAGATTACTGGCACTACATTTTAAAGCATGCAAGTTTCCTTTTGGTACCCCTTGCCAAGAAGAAAGCTTTTGAGAAAGCTCCTTTTGAGGATCCAGTTGAGGATGACGACCTCAGGTGCACCATACGATGTTGCATAAGGGCAGTTCTCTTCAGAGCTAACAGAAATGGAACCAAAATGGAACCACCAAGAAACAAGTGGTAGATCTCAGTATCTCCAGGGAAAGTCATAAGGCTGTAGAAATAAATATCATCAAATGGAGGCAATTCCCTATAAAGAACATTTATTCAGTGGTTACCAGGCGTTACGTATACAATATTCATGCAAAGATGTCCTCAGTTTTATAGTTGCATGTAGCTTGTATTTATTGCTTCATGGCCTTTTTACTAAGATCAAGCATGTGTATTTAAGAATTTGTGCATTATCAGCCAAAGAACATATGGATTTGGGTCTTCTTTGGGTAAATAAACATGACACAGAATATGACAAATCCAAAGGCCCTTTGGTCCCAAGAGGCAGAATAATAAAATATTCTGCTCGATTTGGCACATTTATCACTCCTCAACACCCAAGTGAGAAAAACCAACCAGCCAACCAGAAACAAACAACACAACACAGGGAAATTCAAAGAGAACATGTAAAGGATAGGCACCTAGAACAAAAATGCAGAAAGGAAGGCTAGCAAGCGCTCAGAAGCAAAACTGCTGTTGGGTAAATCTTGCATACAAGATAACTGTGAAATTAGCACATTATAGGGCCAAAGAAAAGGTTATTGATAACCTACAGTTAAAAGAAGGGGTTCTTTAACCACTGTCTGTAGGTGATTGCTACATCAGGAGCCTTTGCCACGGTCTGGGTTAACTAGGACAAATGGGACACTGCCTTAGCCTCAGGCTTCGTCCAGGTAGCCCTCTCAAATGTGTCTCCCTAGTGGAACCAGTAGGTCCTGCTTGTGTTCCCTTCAAACTGAACTCACAGATTTAACCTATATTATGAGTGGATGTGGAAGAGAAGCACATGGAGTAGAAGGAATAAAGGGAAGGAGTAGAAAGAAACAGCAGCCAATAGAAGGATTCTTTACCTTGAGGGTAAGATGTATTTTTCTGCCCAATAGTTAAGCCACGGAAAGAACAAATGGAGTGTGTGGGGTGGGAGCAAAGTGAATGTCTACCTCCTTACATGTGTATGTGTCTATGAATACACACTCTTGCCTCTGGTTCCATCCAGCATTGGCTGCTGTGCCTTCTGCTCCACCAGCCACAAAGGGCACCCATTGCCATTACTGTCCATTAACTTGCTTTGTTTTGCTGGCTGATATTTTGCACATCAGTTAATTCTTTTTCTTTCTAACTCTGATTTATTAGACATACTGCTTGAATCACATATCTTAAATATAAATGTGACCTCATTTTGAAGTTATATTATACATCATGGACAGTGGACACATTTCAAGGTAAAGGCCATTGCTCAGTGGTTATGCACGTTTTGCATCCAAAAGATCCCATATTCAATCACTTGCAACTGCAGATCGATTGTAGGGAATCTTATGCAATACAGAAAAAACACTGTCCATGGTGTAGTGTTTAATTAATTAATTTATTAATGTATTTATTTATTTTAAAAAGTTTAGGACTGCTGGAGACCCTGGTTCAAATCCCTACTTGGCAATACAGGGACTGGGTGCTCTTGGACCAATCTTAGATTCTCAGCCTATATCATACAGGGTTGTTGCGAGGATAAAATGAAGGACAGCAGCTTTGTATGCCACCTTGAGCTCACTGGAGGAAAAGTGGGATATAAATTCAACTAATAAGTAATAATAATAAAAAGAATAAGAAATACTGAATTACATGGACCAGTTAGGACAGGTTTTGTCTGTAACTCTGGCTTTCAATGACCAATTTTGAACTGGGCATCAACATAAGATACAGGGGTTTTTGGCAGTTAGAACAGAGCAGCTAAACCATATTTCATCTGTCCTCAGCCTAGTGACACTGTTTCTGTATACCTCCTCTCCCCTCAGAAATTCCGAGTCACAGTTGTCTGAACATTTCAATTCTGCCTGTGTTCAGATTCACTAAAGCATATATTATAAAAACTTAGTTCTGTTTTGGTCATTCTGTTGACCAGCCACACAAATTTTCTATCTAATTGAACTGGTGGTTATGTAAGTTTAAAGATAACTCACTCTGCCACGTTTCTGCTTCCTTATTTGACAGGAACTAAACGATTTTTTATGCACTGTGGCCATGAATGAATGAATGGATAAATAAATAAATATAAAATTATGAATATTGGTGGAAAAATACACAGATATGAAAACAGAATCCAGTGCAGATTATATTGAGGGGCAATATGAGAAATTCATCAGTGTCCAGAAATGCAGTATTCTTTGCCATCTGCCACTTCATATTTCTAAAGCACTTTACTATGACCTCTTGATTTTTCCACTGCAGATTATTTTGCATTATAAATGTCCTTCAACTTTATGAGTAAGTGCAGATAACAGAGACGTGTGAGAGAGATTTTGTCAAGAAAATCTGTGTATGCCACTGGCGGCTTTTTTTTTTTTTTTGACAAATTACACTTTCCAGCCTAGCCTCACATAATGTACTGCTTAATTATCCAGATGCCAGCTTATAGCAAAACTGTTAGTTTCTTTGGAGATCAGTAAAGCAAATGCATATTTGCAGATTTGTCAGGCCTAATACAGTGGGGTCTTGACTTAAGAACGGCTTGAGGTAAGAACATTTTGACTTAAGAACCGCTCTCATAGGAAAATATTGACTTGACTTAAGTACTTAGATTTAAGAACTGAAAAAAACCCACGTGGGAGGCAGGGAAAGTGCAAAATGTGAACTTTCAGTTAACTGTTGGCCAGGGAAAAGGGTGCCTGTCTGCTTCCTCACTCCTCCCAGCATTTGGAGAGTGGATTGGGAGACAGTCTTCGGACTGCTTGGTACTGCCTGGACTGTATTTTCCCTGCCTTCCCTGAACCTTTCTAGACCTAAGAAAAAAAAGAAACAAAATATCCCCCTCTAGTGGTTGAAAGCGGAATAGCAGCTTCCCATTAGTTTTTATGGACGGAAAAGAGCAGATACGGATCAAATGGTTTTCAATGCATTCCTATGGGAAATGGAGATTTGACTTGAGAACTTTTTGACTTGAGAACCGCCTTCCAATACGGATTAAGTTCTCAAGTCAAGACCCCACTGTAGTGGCTCAAATACATTTAGGACTACTTCTATTATGTTTTACAATTAGTTATGTTCTGTGAAGTCAGAACTGTCTCCTGGCAACCCTAACGGGGCTTTCAAGTAAGTGAGATATTTAAGGAGTGGCTTTACCAGTTCCACTCCCCCAGTGAGCTTCCATGGAAGAGCCAGGGAATTGAACTCAGGTCTCCAAGGTCGTAATCCGCCTCGCTATCCATTTCA